TAAACAGTCGAAATTTTTTTTTCTTCTTCTCTTTTTTTTTTTTAGCCTCTCCTCCTTAGAGGCTCTATTAGCTATGCTTGTTAGCCTTTCGTCCTTAGAGGACTTGGCGTTGTAAGTTCTTTGAACTTATTTTTGCTGTTGAATGTGGTCCGTAGATCCCTTCTTGCCCCCCATGCCAAATTAAAACCTTAGTTTTTTAGGCAAACATGTTATGTTTGGGGTCGACCTCTTTGAGGATTTGAAGGATAAACGTAGATAAGCCGATGTGGCATGAACAAGCTTTTGAATCTTACTAGTTCCGAATTCTTGGAGTCGTTCATCGCGGATGAGTCCCTCAGATTCATCTCTCAAGTCCTTGCAGTCATTGGTATTGAGTCGTATCGTTGGAACGGTTGAGGCCTTTCGTCGTTTTCTTGCCTTGGTTTCTTTGCTTCCGGCTAACTAAGAGTCGAAGCTTCAGGTTCATCCTCATTACCATTATCACGACGCTTTTGGCCTTCTTGCTTCTCAGAGGTACACCACTCATCTATTTATTGGCTCTTGTTCGATCGGCACTCAGGGTCATTGGCCTCGACTTTTTCTTCGTTGATAAATCCTTGAGCCCTCACCAAGAACTCCTTATATGTCTGTGGTGGCCTCCGGTCGAGGTATGTACTGTATGGGATATCCCTCATCATCCTGGCCAAGGCTCCCATCAGTGCTACCTCGTCTGTGATTCCCTCTGTGGCAGCCATTTGTTATCCGAATCTCGCGATCCAATCCTTGAGAGACTCGTCTGGCCCCTGGTAGACCCTTGAAAGGTTCTGCTTCGGCGGGATATACTTCTTGACTCCTATAAACTGAGTTAAGAAGACATTCTTCAAATCGTCCCAACTCGCTACAGAGTTAGGCTTTAAGGATCTGAACCATCTCCTAGCAGAATCAAAGAGATGATTCCTGAATGCTCGGCACATGATATCCTCAGGATATCCGTGGAGAACCATATGTCTGGTGTAAACCTCCAAATGATCATCTGGATCACTCCTTCCGTCATATAGCGGAATGGGGGGTGATTTATACTTATCTGACAGCGGCACCCGGATAATATTTTCTATGAACGGGTGGTCGTGGGATGTGTACATCTTGGCGTCGACGTTGACCACCTTGGCTACCTTCCTCACAACCTGCTCGAAGTTGTTTAATCGACTCCCAATCTGCTTCTCAAGCCTGGCCATCTTCTCGGCTAGAGCCTTGTTATCCGCAGCGAGCTCTTCCTCTCTCGCCAGCTGTACGGCCTTCCCGCGTCGGGCGTCGAGCCTCGTCCTAAGGTCTCCGCCGTGCACAGATGAAGACTCCACGGGGACTGCATTCCTCCTATTCGCATCCTGTTGCGGTCGAGGGGGCGTATCCCTGTTATTCACAGCTTGCGCCGCAGCCTTCTCCCGCGCTCTCCTCTGTGTCGCGCGTTGTCCCCACAGACCTGTTCGACTTAATTGGGTGGGGATCATTGGCTCGACTATCACCGACTTCCTCGGCGTCACCGCGTTGGTCGCCAATCCCTTGGCCCCCAACAACGGCGTTCACCGGGCTCATCGGCGCATCTTCGAGCGGTGGCATTGGGTTCTTCCCTGGATCCCGCCCAGCAAGGGCCGTAGCCAGCCTTTCCACGGCCGCGGTCAGTGTTTTGACCTGCCTTTGGAGCTGGTCAATACAGTCTGGGGGATTCTCGGCAGCCGGCGGGAGCGGATTCGTTGAGGTCCCCGCGGCGGTGAGATTCTGGGTTGCCTGGCTCCTCGGGTCCGGGAGCACGCAAGCGTTCCTGGGAGGCATGGTTACCGTTTCTGAGGTTACAAACTGGATTAAATTTCTAGGCTTAGGCCCTCCTTCTAGCGCCAATTATTGACGGTGTTTTTTCGACAACTCGTAATTACCTCTCCAAAAAACACTCACGGTTCAATCAAAGATAAAAACTGAAAAATAATGTAAAGGAGACAACAATTTTATAGTGGTTCGGCAATAATTCTTTGCCTAATCCACTTGTGCATGCACTAATATTTCAGCCGGTTACAAGCTCCCTAGTTCTAATGAACTAGTACGTAAAAACCCCCCCTCCCTCGGTTTTCTTGGCTCTATTTATAGGCCTTTACATGTGAATACGTATTCCCCGTTCCCAAGGAAGAAGCCATCTTCTGCCCTCAATCCGCGTGAGGATAGGTGGGTTTTCATGATGACTGCTCCGGGAAACGCGGCTGATCAATCCTATCTGCCGCCTGATTTCCTGACTCCTGCAGTAGCAGTCGGATCAATACTTCTCTCTTCGAGTTGATAAGACCGTGGCTGGATTTGACTGGAATACTTCCAATCTGATCTAATTCCTGACTCCTCGACATAAAGGTTTTAAAGGGCTTTTAGTAAACTTCTCGACTTCAACGACGCAAAGGCCTTGAGAGGACCTTAAGCACTTCTCGACTCTAACACCTTGACTCCTCGACGCAGAAGCTTCAAAGGGCTTTTAGTAGACTTCTCGACTTCAACGACGCAAAAGCCTTGAGAGGACCTTAAGCACTTCTCGACTCCAACACCTTGACTCCTCAACGTAAAGGCTTCAAAGGGCTTTTAGTAGACTTCTCAACTTCAACGATGCAAAGGCCTTGAGAGGACCTTAAGCACTTCTCGACTCCAACACCTTGACTCCTCGACGCAGAGGCTTCAAAGGGCTTTTAGCATACTTCAACGACGCAAAGGTCTTGAAAGGACCTTAAACACTTCTCGACTCCAAGAGCGCTCCTCAACCTAGAGACATCTCCCTAACTGTTACTTCTCGACATCAGTGATTTGTCCTGACTTTCAGAGCTCTCAATGCGTACGACAAAAGTAGGTGGCTTGAATGGTCGACCATGGTGTAATAGAGTCCACGTAGGTCTCACTTGGTCGGATCCAGTCCTTGTGTCTGATATAGATAAATCCTCATTGGTATTATTCCATCGTAACCGAAGCTGGAAACTGCACAACATGTGCTCGAGTACTAGGCTACTAGCTCTCTTCTACATAGTATTCCCATCTACGGTCTACCTACGTCGATTTCTCACCACATCCTTACATTTTCCATTGCACAGTTGATTAGTTAAAAGGGACACATTCTTTGATTTTCGCAACAAATTAAAACAACCCAGACTTACCCTAAAAAAAGGCGCGACTTTTGGAATTTGAATCTAATGATATGAGCATGTTGATTTTCCTTCATGAATAATTTGTTAAGGTTTCTTTTGTCATGCATGGGATATGATATTTGAATCTGTCACTTCCAAATATATGTAAGCTTTTGGGTTCCAATAGCATAGACAATTATTTTAGGTTTTACTTTCTGGTTAAATTACATAACAAACCACAACATTGATTATACTTTTTAGGACCATACCATGTATATCGAAATCGTTGAATTAACATCTTTCTTATAAGTTGAAATAATAATGTTATATAACTATTGAAATTTATATTTTCGAATTTGCAGGAAATATACCCTTTTTTCATTTTTCTTTTTTTTTATAGAAAAGACCAAATGGCTGGATTTCAAAGACTTAAAAAAAATGGCCAGTTTTTTTATTAAAAAGTCATGAATCTCATTGTTCTCTTTTCTCTCTCTACTAGTTAGAATCACGTGCTAAGCACGTGTATATTCAATTTGTTGCATTTTGGATATACATGTACATAAAACTTAGAATTTCGTTTCTTTTTTTATTTATTATTAGGGAGTTTCACTAATAAGATTAAAAAAAAAAAGAATTGTTGGTATTTCCTGCTTTCAACCTTTATATTTGTATCAAAAATTATTTATTCTGCGTATTTTTATAAAATGATGCGATTTTAATCAAATCTAACGTTCTAAAACTTGACCTACCAGAAAAAATCCCTTAATATTATCTCAAGAATCCAATTAAGTTAAAAAATATGAATGTAAACAACATTTGAAAAAGAAAAGATTTTAGTGGGGCAGATTAGACAAAAAATATTATTGGGTACACAGGTACTATTTGAGAGGATATCATGAAAAACATGTTTATATAGGAACACAGTTGATAAACAATATTTAAAAAGGGCAATTAAGGAAAAAAGTTATAAGCGTCACATTTGAATAACTGTAGAAGAGTACAAGAAAAATATTTTACTAAAGCATATTTTAAAAATTTTATTTCAACAGGAGCAAATTAGAAAAGAATAAGGCACATTCGAAAATATAACATTTAAAAATTAAAAAAGAAAACAAGTAAGCTAAAAAACACTCAATCTCCTAATAGAAAGAACAAAGCCCGAGTTGAATTCTTAAATTTTCTAAAATTTCCCAATCTTAATTTTGAGAATCTACGTTGACATAACCATCACAATTAGAGTTTAACATTTACATCGTGATACGGTGTTTAGAATTTTTTTCTCTAGGATAGTCATTTTTTAATAGTAATCATTTATTGTTACATTTTTTTAATAGTAATCATTTATTGTTATGTTCAAAAAAACGGTTAGTTATTTAGATGTTATGCATGTGCTTGGTCTAATCAACATTGTTGCTAAAGAGGCAGCTAACAACTTTATCCGAGGATATAAATGTTGAAACTTGTCAAGAGTATTACTGATAAAACTGATGTGGGACTAATTTGTTGGTCACTAGGATAAGCCCAGCTGTGAAAGGGTTTCTTTTGAAACAAGAAATATCAACATATCAAGATTCAGAACTCTACAGAAAAATGCAATGAAACTTCTTGCTCACTCTCTAATGAGACAATGTCAGCAAACTGGAGCCAGAATCAAAGCTCCCAAATAAATGGTGACTAAAAAACTAAAATTAAGGTACATAAAGTATGTCATTCTCATCCTAAAAAGAATTTAAGGTACATAAAGTATGTCATTCTCATCCAAAGGTGTTGATCCAATAATAACAGAAGAAGAGAGCAGTATTCATTTAGCATAGCCATTACATAAGCAATCAATAGCTACAGTATATTTTCATTTTTTCCCCTTTTAAGAATCTAAAATTTCATGTTGAGTATCTTATACAGTGGCTGATAATATGTCACTGAAGGGTTGTTATCTGTGGAAATGCTGAGCTCTTTGGAGGCAGATGCCTCTTTGAGTGCAGCAAGAGCAGCTTTTTTCTTTTGTCTCTCCTCTCTCCACTTCCTCAGTTGATCCTCTATTGCTGTTTTTGCTCTCTCAGCCATTTCAGCCCTGAAAATCGCCTGCTCTGCGCGGTTCCTGAACTCTGCAACTTTTGCCGTTGCAGCTTCCAACTCCTTCCTCAAATTTTCCAACTCATGCTTCTTTTCATCTGCTGTTAACTGGCTCGAATCGTCGATCACTAACTCGGGAATTCGCTTGATCAATGTCTCATCTCCCTGAAGTGAAATTGTCATGTTTACATTGTTATCATGTTTTGTCTCTTCGGCTTCTGGATTCAGCTCATCTATTTCTGAATGATCTACTTCATTTTCCTTATTAGTTGCTTCTTTCAACCTTTGGCTCTCTTTCTTTGCAGTTTCTGCCTCTACTGCTAGCTCCTGAACCGCGAGATACAACCCCGATTTAACACTCTCGGCTCTTGCTTCAGCTGCCTCCGCAGCCGCAATCTTTGACCTCCCTTTGTGAAGCTCGGATTTCAGCAATGCTATCTCAACCTGTGCTTCTGTTTCCCTTTTTCTCATCTCATCAATCTCGGTCTTCGCCTTTTGTAGGTCCCCGGTAAGCATTTCAACATCAACCATCAGTTGACTCGCCAATTCATTCGCATTTTTCGACTCAGTTTTCAACTCACTCATTTCCATTTTGAATGCCTCAATCAAAGCTTCTTGACTAGACTTCCTCCTGTCCTTCAATTCCAACTCCTCCCGAAGCTGCTTCAAATCAGTGAAGGCTTCAACAGCAGACTTTTCGGAGAAACTCAGCCGTTCATTTGCCTCCGTAAGCTGCAACTGAAGTGCATCAACAAATAAGGACTTAGAAAAACTCTGATCCTCCATTTCCCTTTCCATATCTTCTAGCCTTTTTTCTGCTTCAACTAAAGCCTTTTTAGTCAACTCAATCTCATCATCTTTCTCGGACAGAATTCTAAACCTCTCTTTCTCTGCTTCAATAGCAGCATCCTTTGACACAAGAATAGCATCATTGAGCTCTGAAACTTGCTTCGTAAGATCTTCATACTTTATTCTTTCCGCATTCATCTCCACTTCCATTATTTCTACCTTTTTCAAGGCCTTGATCTCCGAATCTCTGGCAGCATCAAGTTCGGTTTCCTTCCAAAGAAGCTCTTCTTGTGCGGCCCTTAACTCGTGCTGAACTTGCGAGAGCTGCTCGCGAATATTCGCAGTTTCGGACAACTGATCAGCCATGTCTTTCATCTCGGATTCAAGCTCTTCTATCCGAGTTCTGGCAAATATACATTCTTTTTCATATTTTTCCCTCTCAATTTCGGAATTCTTCATCAAAGTGGAAAGCTCATCTATCGTCTTCTGCGACATTTCGAGCTTAAGAATTGCTTGCATGTAAGCAGCCTCCTTTGCTTCTAGTTGCACCTTGTAGTTTGCCAAATCCTTTAGTACACTCTCAAGCTCCCTCTCTTTCTCATCCTACAGTAAAATAGGAGAATCAACTTTTTTTAATTTTAATTTAGAATGTCTCTATTGCAAATACATGTAAATATAAACTTGGTGTAAGTATGTAAATATTTGTAAAAAGAGGAGAATCACATAAACTAGATTTAGTTATAAATTTCATCTTCCAAATACATGAAATCCGCACTATAAATTCAGGGTTCATCAGTACCTGAAAAGTCATTTTAAGATTCAGTTTAATTTGACCAAATTGAATACAAAATGTATTTTTTCTATGTAAATGATGAGAGAAGATAATTACCATCAAAGGAAGGAAAAACATCCTTTTTATATTGTCCATATAGTATTACCAAGAGTTACAATTTTGCAAAGTACTAGACATCTCTAATATAACAACTAGAAAATATGCTTCTATGGACCCTTAAAAAGACTTGCACCATCATTTACACAAGGATTTGAACTCGTCTAAATTCCATTAGATATCTAAATATTTAAGCATAAAAATTTTAATGTCGAATAAAAATATGTTCCGAGTGTATTTAACTTGATAACTACATCTCATACCACAAACTTGAAATGAAACACTAGAATGTAATTGTTCCAACTTTCAGGAAAACTTTACTATCACAAAAACTCTTTTAAGGTATGGCAAAGGGTCTCTTACATCGCTGCCGGTCGACCGGTTTTTCCGCTGATCGCCTTTCTCACCAAACAAGGATAGAGCAGACTGGACTGATTCAATTGGTTTGGTATCAATTTCACCCATTTTTCTCAACCAACCAAACTTCCTAATTAAAAGGAGACTAGTAAAGAAAATAACGAAAGTTGGCAATAAATATTGTGAGTACTTGAGAGGCCGGTTTTGTTCCAAGTCCTTAAGAACCATCAAGGCTATATTTTCTTTGCAAGTACATTTAGGCAACACAAAAAAAATTAGCACAAAATGATTAGGAAGAGAAATACAGAACTATAGTTTGACTTCTATAGATCACATCAATTCAACATTAAAAGAGCTGTGGAGTTGCATAGAACTAATCATAGTTTATGGAAGATTTTCTCTGTGTTTGTCGTTTGGAGGATACTACAAGGTTTTGGATTTTTGTTGCAATTGGTTATTGTTACAAACATGTTGTGGCTGAGCCTTGGATTAATCGATCAAAAGCTTATTTCTACTAATTGGAATTTGATTTCTTTTTTCTTTCTTTCTTGAACCTTTTTTTTTTTTTGTCGTGTATTATTCTTCTTCTAAGTCTGCCTACCCCAATCAAGAAAGTCCTTGGTAATTCCACGGCTATAATGTCATTAATTTGCTTTTCATTACTTTGTTGATACATCATGATCTCAAGACTTTATTGATTTATTTCTATAAAAAAAAAACACACTGTATTGATTAGCACAAGTCTACTGAGTCCGTTTTATAAAAATAGAAAGAAAAAGATCAAAGTTGAAACTATAATCTCATTCTTTTTGAAATTGTTCTCTCAGTTTCTTTTTTATTTTTAAATGGTTGTTCCCTTTAGTTTCAAGTAGGCTGCAAGTGAATATACAAAAGATAACAAAAAAATAAAGAATTAATTACAAAAACTCTTCCTGAACTAAACTCATTGTCTTTACCGCTTCCTTTGAATAATGAAATGTTAATAAAAAAACCTCATCCGTTTGGTTTTCTTAATAGAATTTAAAATTTAATTTGTTATTTTGAGGTATTTTGGTAGCTTTACAGTTTAAAATTTAATTTGATGTAAGTTAAAAAATTTATGAATCTTTTTTTTGGTAGAATAAAAAAATTTATGAAGTTTTTTTAATATTTAAATTCGTTTACATTCAAATTAAATTTTAAACCATAGAATTACTAAAATACTGTCAAAATAGTAAATTTAATGTCAATTTCAGTTAAAAACTTATCAGATGGGGCTTTTCTATTAATATTTTATTGTTCGAGAGGAATAGATGTTACGTTTTAAAAATTAGGAGGTAAAATGTTACTGTGGTAGGATTTTTGTAATTAATCTAGAAATAAATGACACCCTTTCGTCTCTATCTATAATTTGCTTTTATGATAAGAATCATGTCACCAGCTGATATAGTTACTTTTAGGAATCAATTGCACTTCAAATTATTCTTTTCATATAATAGACCCTAAACTTTTAATTTTAAAAAATTACATCTTAAACCTTCAAATTAATAGTAGTTGAGTTTTAATAGCTAATAAATCTTGTCAAATTGATGGATAATATATGAGATTCGTATAAAAAAATTAAAGATCTTTATTTTTCAAATCATGTTATGTGTAAATCTCGTGTCTTAAACCATTAATCTAATAATATCGACTTCAATTGTTATTGATATTAAAATTTGGAATCCATCATAAAAAATAAAAAATAAAAGAATAGTTTAAGTGCAACAATACAATTTACTCTAATTTTGCTATGCAATCTACTTCATCGAATTTTCATATCCAAAACGGAACAGAAAGGTGTCCTCCAATTCACGATCAGTTTCCTAGCGATATGCTCAAGAAAAGAAGAATTCTCACCACTTTTCAAATTTGTAGATCCGATTAAGGATCAGTTTGGTCTCATTATGTGCTCAGCATCATTAGGTATTTAGTAAATTGCATTTACAAACTTCCTACGGATACCAAAAGTTAAATTGGATATTGTTGAGATTTTGGTTTTGATGATTGTCATTTACAGATTTGCTTAAATTTTTTGGTGTTGGTATTATTTTGGGAACAATTTGATGTTGTCTGATTGAAGATTGATCGGCAGCCGTTATTATCATTTTGGGGAAGTTCAATTTATTTAGAAACTGTTCAGAATCAATTAAATTGATTTGATTTGATTAAAGTCAACTTTTAAGTATCTTTGGTAAGTTGAAAATAGATAGAATGGTTGATTTGTAAAGGAGATCATGGGAAGCTATTCGAATCATCCATGTTTATGAGGAATACATTCAGGTTTACTCTATCTTATATATAGAAAGAAAATCAAGGAAGTTGACCTTCGGATCAAGTTTTATAGCTCTGTTTGTAGTTTAGTTGCAACAAAATCTGCAACAAACTGTACTCAGCGGATTACTTTGAAGAATTTGTCTAACTGTATTGTTTTGGTTATTTAATTAAAGTCTCACATTAGTCTTAGCACATCTTTACGGACTAGGTTTTACTAAGAAGCTTTTCAGAAAAAGCTTGTGAGTTCGTGTGTCTTGAGAGTTTATTAAAGATCATTCTTGAGGAGAAGAATTAGAAGCTTTCGAGAGAGAGCGCACGGCCAATTGAAGTGATTTCGTCATGTAGTTTTTGAAGATAAGTGGTGCTTGTTGAACAAGGTCATCAAATTGATTTTACACAATGGCGACAAAGTCAAAGAGGAGTCTTTATTTGTACAAGTCTGATTGGTGTTTGTAATTATTCGCCTGCAAGCGTACGGTGTCAAGTTTTAATTGTAAAGATGAGTGAGTGTCGTCTCCACAGGAATTGGGTATTAAATTACCACTAAGTATCGAGATTATCGTAATTTAACTTATCTAGACAACTGAACTCAATGAAATAAAAATAGAACTAGAAAAAAATATAAATACAAAAATAAAATAAAATATGGAAACTTCTATTCACAAATGTACTAGGACTTGACTTCACCTTATCATTTAAATATTCATCCTATCAAACCATTGTTAGCCAATTCCACTCAACTCATTAATCAAGGGACTTAATCTAGCCTCGTTACCTCTCCCGAGCATCACTCATTAAGTAGTTATATGCATGACTACTCAAGTCAATATTCTTATCTAACCCATTTACTCATGCACTCATTAAATTTAACCCTTAAATTGGAAATCAAATGCCAATCGCCTCCCGATCTCACAACAATCAAAATTCTAGTTGATAATCAATGTCTTAATCACCTCTCGGTCTCACAATATCCTAGATTCTCAACGAGATTATCTAAGTGCCGATCTTCTCCTCGACTCATAACAACCTAGACTATGTTTTCCAATTCCAGATTATGAAATCAATCTCTCCCGAGCATCAAAATCACAATCTAAAATTATCTAACTCATTGGCCACATAAATTAGAAACATTAAGCATACATAACCATAAATAAATTAAGATAAAATTTAACTTACAATTGACAAGATAATCAAACATGGTTCAAATAAAGCTATATCAAACCCTAGAATATGAAGTCTTGCTCAATATAGAGGAATCCATAATCAAAATCACAAATTTAAAAACTAAAACTAAAAAAAAAAAATTACAATAAAAAGGGAGAAGGTAGAGAAAACTCTTAAGGAGATTGGCTTCAAGTCTTCAAATCTTCATGAATCTCTCCCAAACATTCTTCAAGAATCTCCAACTCCAAGCTTCTCTCTCTATGAATTTTTCTGACGACCCTCCTTAAGAGGCCGTCACCGTAGTTGACATTTTTAACTTGTACTTACTGGGATTTCTTAAAATTTACGGAACATTTTTTTTTATATAAGAAGGAATAATTTCATAATTCGTAACAATAATTTCAAATGAATGAATTACTAAATTTCTTAAAGCTTTTCTTAATTTCAACTAAAATAAAACCTTCTAGATATATCCTTCAAATTGAGTAGCGTTTGATCTTTTGTTTCAAACACCCTTTAAAAGCCTTTCTAAAACTAGTCAATTCAATCTGGCCATCTAATTTGAATTTAAAATAGATTTCGTGAGAAATCTTAAATTCAAGTACATCTTAAAGTCCGTTTAAAATCAATCATTTAAATCGTCATGTTTAAAATTCGTTTATTTGTTGCATGCACTGTTGCAACATTCTAAAACTTAAATACTCAAGACTGGGTTGTTAGCTACAACCTCGGTTTTCTTAACATACATATGTACATATACTTTTCAAATATACATGCTTATAACCTTTGAATCATATATACATATACATGATTTTACTTAAACTTACTGCGGAAGATTTAACTGTGAGCGGTATCTATTCTCATCTCCACCATTCGCCCGCCGCTCGCCACTACCCTTCAAGAATTGCTGATAGGTTTCTTACCTACAGCATGAACATATATGATTGAACTTTCACTCAGCAAGTAGGAACTATCTCTCGCAAAATAACTGTAAGTTCACATGTATAAATATGCATGAGCTGATTATGCTTAATTATGATGTCTTATCATAGTCTTATTATCTTATCTTATCTT